ACCCTCCTTCTTGGGACCCTAATTCTATTTGCTGAACTTCAGTGAGAGTTTTCCTTAAGTTTCCAGAAAGTGCTCATTTTCCAGCTTAGCATAAAAGCAAAAAGCTTGTGTGCAGGAAAGTGCTGCCCACCTTTAGAATATGGAAGTCTCTTGCTTATAGATTGTATGTTTGGACGTGGTTTCTTTAACTCAGCACCCAGAGCTCTGCTTCTGAATCACATTGCAGAGGGCTCTTCTGTTTCAAGAACTGCAAAAGCCAAAACAGCAACAGGAGATGAGAAGCATCTGCAAAGAGAGCCGTCCCACTAAAACCAGAACCCATTGCTTCAGTGGATCTGCCACCTAGCTGACCTGCTGCCGGGGAAGCTGCCGGGCGGTCTTTCTACATCTTTTTCTTTAGTGGTGCTGGGTGCTCTTCATTGTTGCCATTCAGACTCAACGTGCTGACCTTACTCATTTTGGCAGAGAACCTTATTTTGAGATAAGGTTTGAAAATATTCCCGCCCCCAGCATCGTTGCTCATGCCTAGAAAATATTTCCACTGATAGCTGCACGCTCTTGTGTGCACAGGGAGGCTAGCCAGCTTGACAGAAATTAGATGGGGGAAGAAGGAAGGAGAGGAGAAAACCAGTTTTATTTTAAAAGTCCAATCCTCTAGAAAAACCAGGAATCCAAAGACATGTAACATAGTCTTTATTAGGGGAGCTAGGCCAAACAAAATGAAATCAGATATATTTGTTTAGGAAGGACAGGGAGTTACTGCTTTCTTTATTTTAAAAACATATTATTAAAACTTTAAAACGGCTCAGATTCTTTAGTTCCTAGCTCTTGTCTTTAATAAAATTTTAAAAGTAAAAACTCTGGAACATTAGCTTACTTATCATTTACAGTCTTTCCATTAAACAGATTCTTTTTTAGACCTTTACAATGGTATTAATAGTTTCCCAAAGTAATGGAAAAAAAGTACTTTGTGCTAGACATTGTTTCAAAGTACTTTGTTAATCAGTTCAATTGCCACAATAGTGCTATGAAGTAGGCACTATTATTATTCCTGCTTTATATACAGAGAAACTGAGGAACAGAGAGAGAAACCTGCCCAGGGTCTCACAGCTAGTGTTTGGCAGTGCTGGGATTCAGACCCAAGATATCCAGCCTTAGAGCTGGATATGCAGCTCTCTGAACCCCTGCACACATCCGGGATCTCATGACTGCATGTGTGCACAGATCAACTGGAGGTCAGGATGATGGTGATGATATTGTGACTAATGAAACATTATTTATCGAACACCTACTTATATGTTAAAACCTTTACATAGGCTTCCTGCACCACAACCTTGTGGGGAGATGATGTCACATCCACTTTATAGATTGGTAAACTGAGGCTTAATGGGGGAAAGTGATTTGCACCAGCTCTCGCAGCTGTGAGTGCACGGGAGCGTGGTGACCGCAGCTGGTGCTCCCGCCTCTGCGCCTGCTCCAAGCCTTCAGACAGCACTGCGCCTCCTTCAGCTGCCTGTGAGTTGTCATGTTGTGCCGTCTCTGTGTGGTAGTAAGAAATACAACATCATCAGTGCTCCTCATTAAGTGATCGGGCACTTTGGCCACTGGTGGTATTTGGTGGGGTAGGGCAAGGGGCGTGAAAAGCAGTTGGAAGAGAAAACGATATTAGCCCTATTCTTCCCCCTCCCCAAAAGAAGAAAACAATCCTTTCTGCAGACTTCTCTCTAAAAATCCACTACTCTGAGCTTCCACTAGTTTGTTTTGCTTTAAGCACCATACACAGAGTTTTCAAAAGCAGTGTGTAGATATGATACCCAGAAATTATGCCCATGTTGATGAGCACATTGGCAATTGACCACAAGACTATTTCTCCAGATCCCTAGATGAGAATTTCCTTGTCTGTCTTTATGTATGAATTATATCTCCTTTTCTATCCACTCCCTCTTGAAATAGTGTATGAGCAGAGTTCCCACATGGCTTAAACATACAATACACACTGCATTTCGCACATAAGTGCACCCTGTGATCTGGAGCATTCTGTGTGTGTTTGTCTCCAACTCCCTTCTTCCCCTGCTCCCCCGTGGGCTTTTCCCCCCTTAGGCAAATGCAAGGCCCATGCCACCTGTTAGCATTACATCATTGGCTCCGCAGAACACAGTTGCACCAAAGGCCTTAAACAAAGTAGTTCTTCTTGTATTGTTTGCACTCAAAGAGCTGATATCATGCCAACTGATGTCATTGTATGTCTTTGTGTAACTGCTATGGCAACTGGGCAGGTGGGAAGCCCCCAGCTGATGTCATTGGGAAAGGAGGTGTACAGACAGAATTTTAAAAAGCTGTACACTGCTTTTTTCTGTGTTTTCTGGCATGCATATTTTTTTATAACTTGCTGCTTTTAAGACAAATTATAGCGTGAGTATCCTAAATAAGAACTGAGAGAAGTTTGATGCTTTTGTTTGTTTGTTTCCCTCTTAGAGACTTCTTTTGAGTTTGTTTTGTTGTACTTTCTTCTCATCTTATATGGAAAAATGTAACAACTACCCTTAAGAAAAAAGTGGATTAGGTTCCCATTACAGAATCTGTGTGGAACTGTTTACTTGGATTTTTGTGGAGGCCAAGCTGAAGAATTTTTAAAATAACTCTTTAGTGTTCCTTTTGTGTAGCCTATGATGGGGACACTGGGTAGTTTTTATTTATTTTTTAAGTATTCACTGGTGAAGTTTTTCTGGTTTTCCATTTTTCTTTTGATTTGAAAAACTATCTCTTTGGGCCCAAACTTTATTTATTTATTTATTTATTTTGAGACAGAGTCTTGCTTTGTTGCCCAGGCTAGAGTGAGTGCTGTGGTGTCAGCCTCGCTTACAGCAACCTGAAACTCCTGGGCTCAAGCAATCCTCCTGCCTCAGCCTCCCGAGTAGCTGGGACTACAGGCATGTGCCATCATGCCTGGCTAATTTTTTCTATATATATATTAGTTGGCCAATTAACTTCTTTCTATTTATAGTAGAGATGGGGTCTCACTCTTGCTCAGGCTGGTTTTGAACTCCTGACCTCGAGCAATCCGCCCACCTCGGCCTCTCAGAGTACTAGGATTACAGGCATGAGCCACCACACCTGGCCAGGGCCCAAACTTTATTATCATAATTTTCTAGCAGAAGAAACTAATAATATGTAAGGGCATATTTGAATTCTAGAAATCAATTAAAATATAGCTCTTGCTTTTCTTTTCACAAGCAAAGATAGATTTTGACTTTACTAATTTTTATGAGTAAAGTGATCATAGTATACTGAATTTTCTTTAGATCCTTACCATACCTTAAAGAAAATATGGTTTCTGTCTTTTACATGCCGGACCTGCTCTGGGTCCACCTGCTGTGAACAGTCAGAGAGACTGGGTCTAGGTTACAGTCTGGGCTTCCTGCTGTGGTTGCCAAAGATGAGACTTGAAATGGAGAAGAACATTTGTTAGGTTCAGAAACTCGTGGACAGATAGACTTCCTGTCCTTATTTCAACACAGCCATACCCTGTTCACACTTTGTATTTTGTGTCTTATCTCCTAGAACTATCAAGACAGCCACAAGGCATCTGTCTTTGGGGCCAGATGTCTTTCTGGTGGCTGTCAGCTAACAGGCGTTTTCCAACTTCCCCTTCTTTTCAAAGGAAAGGCTGGGTGTGTCTAGCTCTGCCCGAGTGGAGTTGGAGCTTGGTTGGTAGTGACAATATCAGCCCAGGCTCCACAGCCCTCACGTCCATGTCTTGTGATTGGAGCCTTAATCCCTGGGGTTTGTCTCTGTGTGCAGTTACTTGTAACAGATATTAAAGGAAATTTGAACAATAAACTGTGACCCATAAATTCCCTAACTTTAGCAACTGTTTTTTGCATAGTCCTTCAGCTTTTGATGAATGTTTTTGAATTAGCTTCTTTTAATTTAATATTACACATTTTTTTGTTGTCACACACTTTAAAACTACTGCTTTAATGGTTATATAATATTCCATGTTGCATGCAATAACTTCTTCTTTGCTTTTTCCCCCATTTTAATTTATTTTTGTTTTTCACTTGGCTTTTTCCATAAAACAGATATTGCTGTAGTGAACCATCTTCACAAATCTGACTGAATGTCTTTGGTTAGAAGATTTCCCTAAGATCCATTCCCATAAGTGAGACTGTACTTGTTCAGGGGAAGGTTTGCATTTGAAAAATGGGGAGAAAGCAGAGTTTAAGCTCTTTGTGCTAGACCCATAACTCTTGGGAGGTGGCACAGAGCCTTAAGCTCAAAGGTACATATTCATAGATCCATTAAAGGTTTCCTGGCGGGTTTATGTGCACACAAACCTTGGAAAGTCAAGTATAAGGGACCAGGCTACTCTCAGATTCCATTCAAGTGGAAGTCAGGGATGACAAATGTCAGGGACCTACATGGGGAACATAAAACAAAGATCATGATGACAACTCACCCCACCCCAGTCTAGCTTGTCTTTTCCAAGTATTTCTCGGTTGCTTTTACTTGTGGGCAATCATGTAAATAATATTAATTAAAAATAACTAATACTTGCTGAGCTCTACTGTGTGCCGAGGAATGAACGTGCTAAGCATCATTCTTCCCAGACTCACAATCAGATTCAGAGGTAGATGCCATTACCCTCATTTTACAGATGGGGGAACTGAGGCACAGGGAGATAAATTAACTGGCCCAATCACAGAGCGGGGACGCGGCGGTACTCAGGTTATAAAGGAATCTGGCTCTTCCAAGGCCCTGCTTGTAACGCCCCGCTGCGTGGGCGCACACTTGGGCCTCCGGCGGAGGCGCCCTGGGAGGCGCGGGCAGTGCCACCTGCGCAGGCCAGGGCGGGCCGGGAGGCGGGTGGCAGCCGCCCGTCGCCCGGGGACGCCCAGCGGGTCTGGTCTGTCGCCTTTGCGGGGGCGGCGCTGGCGGTCGCGGGGGAGCCGGCTCCCGCGCCCCGGCGAGTCGCTGAGGCGTTCCCGTCTGTGTTCCAGGTGGACTCAGCGGTTTCAAGCAGAGCCACGAGAACCTCTGCGACAACTCCCTGCAGCTCCGCGAGTGCCGGGACGCGGGGCCCGGCGCCCACGCGGCCCCCCGCGCGCCGCCCGCGCCCGCCTCGCCCGACGTGGAGGGCGCCGAGCTCACGCCCGTGCTGCCCTTCCTGTTCCTCGGCAACGAGCAGGACGCCCAGGACCTGGGCGCGCTGCAGCGGCTGAACGTGGGCTACGTGCTCAACGTCACGGCGCACCTGCCGCTCTACCACTACGACAAGGGCCTGCTCAGCTACAAGCGCCTGCCCGCCTCCGACAGCAGCCGGCAGGACCTGCGCCAGTACTTCGAGGAGGCCTTCGAGTTCATCGGTACGGCGCTGCGCCTCCCTCTCCCCGCGCGTGCTGTGAGGTCAAGTCCAAGGGTTATTCAGGGGTGCAGAGAAAGCCGCTCTGAGGCGTTTCCGGGTCTGCTGCCTGCTGCGGCCCGGAAGTATTCCCCTAAGTCGTGCCCGGGGAGTGTGTCGGAGCCGTCAGGATGGATATGAAAGAACAGTTATTGCGTTTTGTTGGAATCCAGTCAATTAGAACCCTCCTTCTTCAAGTTCTCAGGCCGGGCGCGGTGGCGCAGCAGCCTGTGACCCTAGCTCTCTGGGAGGCCGAGGCGGGAGGATCGTTTGAGCTCAGGAGTTCAAGACCAGCCTGAGCAAGAGCGAGACCCTGTCTCTACTGAAAATAGAAAAAGTAGCCGGACACAGTGGCAAGTGTCTGCAGTTCCAGCTACTAGGTAGGCTGAGGCAGGAGGATCGCTTGAGCCCAGGAGTTGGAGAGGTTGCTGTGAGCGAGGCTGACACACGCCACTGAACTCTCCTCCAGGCAACAGAGCAAGACATTGTCTAAAAAAAAAGACTTCATCCCTCAAGTTCTCAATGAAAAAGTGGTAGAGGGTTAGCATTTAATATGCTCTGTAACCAGAAGAATGGATGGAAAATAAGAAATTAGAAGCCAGAGCTGGTGCTGCTAGAGTTCCTCACTGCCTTGCAGGAAGTAACATACTGTGGGTCTGACACAACTTCCACGCACACCCCTACTCCCCTTCTAAGCCTTATTCATACAGCGTAGGAGAGATGCTTTCTTTTGACAGTTCACTCCAAACCCATTGAAGTTAGAAAGATCAGGTTGTGTAGCCTAAGTAGTTCCTAAGGAGGACAGTCCTAGCAATAGCAGGCTTTAATCTCCAGAAGAAAGCAACAGTCAGCCTAATCTTAATCTTACCTTTTGCTACTTCCGTAGCTTCAAATTGTTGTGAGGCTCAAGTTATCATTTTGGGAATACCTGGCATGTAGCAGACACTCAACCATATTTTTTCAAGTGACTCCAACTTTTATTGCTATAAAAGGGGCGGCCCAATACTTTTCCTAAATTTTGCAACAGGTTGTTACTGTTTTAGAAAGAATATACTCATGTTTGGTGCTCCTGTGTCATACAAGACAAACAAAACAAAGCTTAGATCTGGTGGCCGGGGGTCTGGTGGGGTTGCTGCGGTGTTTGTAGCTCTGGCCGTTGGCGCCGCTGCTTCCCTTCAGCACAGCACCATGGCGCGTTTATTCAGTCCGGAAGGAAATTCAGAGTAGCCGTTGAACTTGGAGAAGTAAAGTGACTTCTCTAAGGTCATAGGAATTCTAGTGTCAGAGAAGCAGCCAGAATCCAGGGATTCTGACTCCCAGGTCTGAGGCCTCTCCACAACACACTAGGGTGGTGTTTATGATGTCCTATGAATTAATTTCAAACTGGCAACTCTGTAGCTACAAAGATACCTCAGATTCTTTATTAATAAAATCTGAGCCAAACCTTGAGCCCTGAGGAAGAAATATTTGTCACCACGTAGATGAAGAACTTCTGGCTGATATATGATATTATGACTGAGATTCCATCTGACTGCATTCCAGTTGGGGGAAGTTAGGAAAGTGTTTTCCGTTTAACAAGTAATGTAAGACATGCTTGTTCTAAGAGGATTTCAACCCAAGCGCTCACATTCCTTACAGATTATTCAGGTTCACCTGCCTGTTTTGTTTTGTTTTTTAAGAAGGAAAACAAAACCAATAACAAACAGCATTTAGCCTGAAGACAAGTTGGAATCACAACCTGCATGGGCACAATTTTATTTTCATTGTTATAGTATTAGATAAACTGAAGTCTTATAGTCTTGCTTTAGGAAAAACACAGCAGGTTTTATAAATGCAACTTTAACAGAGCGTCTGCTATAAACTAAGCAGGGTCTAGATTTAGGGTTTAACTATGCCTGTTTAGTCCTGATCAAGTGATATTGTTCCCATATTCTCTGAGGCTGGCTGGCTGGTATTGTTCCCATTGTTCACACAGGAAGATGGAGGCTCTGAGAAGTTTCGTAACTCACACTAGGTCACTTAGCTAGTGTGCTGTGGAATCACTGGGCAATCCTAGCACATAGCGGCTCATGTGCTGGCCACCGTGCTTTCTGGTCCTGATTTGGAAGTCAGTAGTATGTGCTGAAAAGAAGAAATTGAAAAAGGGAGATGTTTGCTTTTTTTGAAATACTGTTGACCATGAGAAGGAAGCTTCATCTCTAGATTTTTTAAATGAATGTTTACATCATGTTTCTTTCCTTGGTCCACTAGTGCGTAGCCAGTAGAAGTAGTTTAGGGTAAATCACTACTTTCTCTAACCTCTTCTCCTTCCCTACCTATTCTAATAGTATTTTCATCTAATGGTATTCCTTAAAGGAAGCTTTCTTGGGGATGCCTTTGAATCTAGAAGAGTCATTAAGAATGCAGTCAGGGCCAGGTGCAGTGGCTCACGCCTGTAATCTTAGCACTTTGGTAGGCTGAGACAGGAGGATCGCTCGAGGCAAGGAGTTGGAGACCAGCCTGAGCACCACAGCAAGCCCTTGTCTCTACAAAAAACACAAAAATTGGCTGCATGTGGTGGCGCTCACCTATAGTCCCAGCTACTCGGGAGGCTGAGGCAGGAGGATCACTTGAGCCCAGGAGTTTGAGGCTGCAGTGAGCTATGATGATGCCATGCACTCTAGCTGGGGCAACAGAGTGAGACCTATCTTGGGTGGGTGGGAGATAGGAGGAGAGAAGGGGGAGAAAGAATCTTGTCAGGCAGTGCCCACGAGTTATTCTCTTGGGCTTTTAATATATCTGAAAATTTAGAAAGTCTTTCCTCTTTCAAGTGCTCTGGATTCTGAGCCATTGCTGGAATTCCTTCATCTTCTGTATCATTGCCATGTTGGACTGTCATAAGTGGGTGCAAAAGGGGTCGGACACTTGAGAGGTCACACCGTGGGCCTTTATACCACAAGTCTTTAGTTAGCTTTGCAACAATTGGTTTTTCTGGTTAGAAACTGAACATAGTAACTTTTTAGTTGAATTTTATTCCTTTAGCTTTAATCAAGGCTTAGAAAGATTGTGAAACTCTTATCCATTTAATACCAGTCCCTATAAGAGCAATTCTGTAGTATAAGGAAAGAAATGTGCTTTTTCTCTAACACAGAAATATTGTTAATGACACTAGTTTTGATAAGTCTAACAATCTGGCAATTGAGATTAATATCTTTAATCAGAAGAAAAATTATATATAAATGTATGTATGTATGTGTGTGTTTAATTTTTTCTCTTCCTTCCTTCATTTTTTCTTTTTCTTTTCAGTAGTAGAGGCCAGGAAAAAAAAAAAAAGACAAGAAGACATTCGAGAGAGAGGTTCAGTAGCTTAACCAATAACTCGCCCGTGTGAACCGCCACGTTGGGGCCCGGTGTTAGGCCTGGGGTTAGGCTGTGGCCTGGCGGGGGGACTGTCACTCCTTAGGGTTATGCCGGGGCCCTGTGGGGGAACCTCACTCCTTAGGGTTAGGCGGGGCCTGCAGGGGGACCATCACTCGTTAGGGTTAGGCTGGGCCCTGTGGGGGGACCGTCACTTCTTAGAGTTAGGCAGGCCCCTGTGGGGGGTCGGTCACTCTTAGGGACAGGCGAGGCACTGCGGGCGTCGGTCACTCATTAGGGATAGGCGGGCCCCTGTGGGGGGACTGTCACTCGTTAGGGTTAGGCGGGCCCTGCAGGGGCACCATCACTCGGCCTCTCCAGTTGCGGACACGCAGCTTTGCCCTCGTGCTAGCGAGATTTTAGCCAGTATTCTGAAAGCTGTGACAGGAAACAATTAATGGTAGATTATACTTGGTTTCAAAGCCATTTCAATTCCTCTTTCTCTGCAAAACAAACCATTTCAGTTAGGGGAAGCGCCTCCCGCCCGCGCCCTGCCCGCCTCACGGCGCCTGTCCATCTGTCTGTCTGTCCGCAGAGGAGGCCCGCCAGCGCGGGAAGGCGCTGCTCATCCACTGCCAGGCCGGCGTGTCCCGCTCCGCCACCATCGTCATCGCCTACCTGATGAAGCACACTCGGATGACCATGGCCGACGCTTACAAATTCGTCAAGGGCAAGCGGCCGATTATCTCCCCGAACCTGAACTTCATGGGGCAGCTGCTGGAGTTCGAGGAGGACCTGGACGCGGGCGTGTCCCCGCGCATCCTGTCGCCCAAGCTGCCGGGCGTGGAGACGGCCGTGTAGGCCCGGCGCCCCAGTCTGCTTGCTGTCTCTGTATTGTGCTTTGGGCTGTAAAGTTTGTGAATGGAAACAAACTTGGTTGAAGACTTTTTGTTTTTAACAAGTGTGAGAAGACTGACTTTTGATGCCATTGAGATTTCCTTCCCACAAACGGACACAGCAGGGAGGCTAAAGAAGCAACTTTTTAATCCCACAGTAAAACTTGTTTCTCACCCTTTTCCTTTTATGCTATTTGTAGAGTTTATGACTAAATAGTCTGTGCAGGTTCATAGACCGAAGATACTACACTTTAAACCAATTGAAAAGAACCAAAAGTAAATAGAGAAGACATTGAATCATGAAGGCCTGGGATCCACCTGGGCCAAACCCGGCCAAACCCAGCCCTGTAGTTCTCTCTGGTGCCGAGAGGAGATCAGGGCAGCTTGACTGGTCTAAGAACCCTTCAACAATCATTAAAGAGACAAAGGATATTGTTGATTTTGTGTGTTTCATGCTCTGGATTTTTTTCCCTTATCTGGGTTCAAGAGATTTTTTTTTTTGAAATAGCAAGGAATTGACCATTCTACCATATGCCTCCACTGGCTTCTTGTGCAATAATATGGTGTTTTGAGTATGCAAACAACTTAGACCTGGCAGCTGAATGATACAGTGCAAATTTGCCAGCTTGGAGATAGAAAGGAATTCAACAATGTACCAATTTACTTTCCTTCCCACCTTTCCCCCTTTTTTTTGATTTGATTCTGGTTACAGTGCCATAAACCTTGTTACATA